GGGCTATATTCTGATTATTATCTTCCAAATCTTGTTTTCATGTCTGATTATTATTTTCCAAATCGAAAATCCTCCTACTTCCCTTTTCTCAAGAGCCACAACTATTTCCTCCATGATGCAAATCAAAGCTGTCTAAAATCCATAGCATATCATATTAATGTCAAAGCCATGCAACACTAGTACTTACGATCCTTTTGGTAGGTTAGTACTATATCTAAGGCTTGGGTTACACAGACGTTAAGAAAATATGTTGACTGGGATTTGGTAAACAATGTTTCTGATTGTCCTTGCAGATTATCTGCTCAAAAGGTTACATCATGGAATCCATACCCACTAAATCCGGAAGCTCGATTTCGATAAACCACAACTTGTTAGCAAGCTATAGACCATTCAACAACACTCCGCTTTATACCCAATCTTTTCTTTTGTCCAAAAAAGAAAAACATCTCAACATTAAGCTTCGCAAATAATTGACTAAGTTCATCAGCTCAATCAACATATAGTACAGTAGTTTGACCAATTTTTAACATTATTATCTCCTTGATTTTGAAACCCGCAAAAATTCTATCACAAGACTTTTGTTAATTTCAGGTTATTTTAAAAGAAGAAAAATGGCGGAGCTCCGTTGAGGGCAATACGAAAAAGCTCAATCTTACCGCAAGTAAACCCTTAGAACTTAAAGCAGCTCAAAGATCGACACAGTTAACAATTGAAAAAATCAATAAAAAAAGCGATGAGCAAAAACTGACCTTGCCAGAGATTAAAAGCCAGCAATTATCCCTGCATTTGTGGCTTGAAACCTCTTCAAACGAATAGAGTTTGGCCATTTCCTGATTAAATTCAATCTAGAAATATTTAGCTGTAGCTGATCTAGATTTGCTAAATCCTTTTGATAAAAATTTGATGAGTGCAATAAGAGTTTCTTACACTGACGGCAACGTCTTCCTCTTTGCTCTGCGCTCCTGAATGCTGGCTTTGCGTCCTGTGACGACGAGTCTGGGTATTGAAGAAAGTAATTTTTTGTTTTTTTTGTTTTTTTCTAAAAAGAAACTTTTATTTTAATAATAAGTAATAAAATACTATTTTGTTATAAAAATACTTTATTTAACATTTAATTTAATTGTTTCTCAATATATTTTACTGTATAACAACTATTTAGCAAATAATTTAACAACATAATCTCAACCAACAAAATATTTTTATAATAAAATAAAATAGAAATATTTATACAAGTTAGAAAATTGTTTATAAAATAATATAAATTGCTTGCGTAAGTTCAAGAATTTTTTTTTTTTTAAAAATTTTTATATATATAATAATTGTCCACTTTCCCCTTATTTTTATAATATTATTTTTGAATCTCACGACATTATTTCTAGACTCTTCTATTTTCCCATTTTGAATTCCGTATCCTATCGACACATTATAAACTGGGTGCCATGAGGACTACTACCGGGCTTTCTCAATGCCGTGTCTTTTTGTTTTTGTTTTAATTATCATAATCCAGCAATTTGATGGTATTATATAATTATAATTTAAAAATTATTATACAATTAAATAAGATTATAAAATAATAATCATTACACGTTATTGTACTATTATTGGTACAACTCATAATTATATAAAAATTATTTAAAGTGACTAAAAATATTATATTGAATTCCATTGATTAATATTTAATTTGATTCAATTTAAACTTTTTGTCCGAATGAATAAAATATGATTAAAAAATTAAGAAAAATGTATAATAATTTTAAATTAGTATTAATTTATTAGACAAATTATAAATTAAAATTATTGATTTGATAAATGATTTTTTTTTTTTTGTATACACAATAAGTAATTACACTAGTCTTATTGATTAGATGAATGATTTTGTACTAATATAGATTTAAAAAAATAAAAAAAAATAAAAA